CAACCGATGTAACTATAAAACAATAGAAAAATCATCTAAGAATACAAAAATTGACATCGTATAAACAATTTCTACTACTACCAAGACTTAGCTGAGTATTCGTAGAGGACAAGTAACTACAAAAATCCAAGCTCTTCCCGGAGTAATCAATAAATAGGTAACAGAGCTGCTAGCCTAGCCCGCAAGCCAGATCAGGCCAATGGTGGTGACCTGAGTGTGACATAATGCTAAATTTCTCAGTGGTCAACTTAGACAAAAATTAACATCACACATGAATAATGCTGATTTTCGACATTTGTTCTTCAGTATTTCTACGAACCAACGTCTTTATACATTCCATAGCTTTTCTTCTTCGATTCTTTTTATTTTTTTTATCGTTTATTCCTTTCACATCAAGACTCTTTGATGTTTTCTTATTCAAAACATTTACTATCGATGTTTAGCAGCTGGTATTCATTCGAGTTCTGATTCTGTGAAACATATGCATAAGCTTCTCACTACCTTAGTTAGCTGTTCTGAAAAAGCTTATTCCTCAGTTGAGGAGCTCCTTGGTTCTAAAAAGTACTCCAAGTCAATATCACGTTTTCAGTTTCTGTTAGAGAAAATCAGAGAAAGGCAGTTCCAGTTCGTTTCTCAAATCATCACGTGCAACATCAATTATAGCAAAATACAAGACAAATACAAAGCTTTCGATATATTTTGAGGAATCCTCACTGTTAAATATTTGAGATTGAAGACTTCATAGAATTTAGCACTTAAAAAAACTATCGTTTGTATATGTACTAATATCCAGATTGAAAGAATAAAAGAAAGATATCTAGACACAAATTTTAGGATTAAAGGATCTACTTGACGGATTAAAAAAGTTTCGATATCTTTTCACAGGTTATATCACTTTTTCAGTTTCAACGATGTTTAAAAGCCAGTGATGGTTTCATTCTCGATTGCCATTTTCGAAGAACCGTTGACCTGTATTTTATTATTTTCACGAATACAAATTCAATAGATAATTGAAACTGATATCACAGATTAATACAAAGTTGTAAAAATAATGGATTTGACAAATCAAAAACACCAGCAGGCCAGGCGACAGGCCAGGTCTGGCTGAAAAAAACAGTGGCCTGTTCGCAGCTGTGATAGGTATTTTGCATGTATCGAAAAGAAATTTAAATTGAGATTTATAGTACATAAAACCTATTCGGATACGACCTGGTCTTTTCCCTGTTTTACTCTACTAGTCAAATGATTTATCAATGATCGACTTAGTAAAATTTGCACATGAATTTCATTCAGAGCATTTGAATGAAAAAATATGCCTTTTTTCTTACATGGAATCGTTCCATGTACTGTTATACAACTCATTCAATGCGTTTTAACCATCGCAAAACCAACAGTAACGATCTTAGGACAAATTTCGACTATGATAAAGTTCCGTAATTATATTTCTTTCTTGTCGCAAATTAAGAACAATGTCCAAGAAACAGTTCATATATTCCTTCACGTAACGCGAGAAGATCAATGCTATGCATACGAGGTACAAAAACTTATCTTTTACGATAAATAGAAAAATGTATCCAAAATCTAATTTTTTTCAAGTGAATTCTCCTTTCTGTTTTGTCCACTTTTAACTGATGATTTTTGTAGTTGCGGACGAATCTCTCGTTTGTCCTAATTAAGTTTCTCGTCAGTCACATTTACAAATTTGACTAATTTCGTTCAAATTAGTCCGAATAGCTGTTGAATCCAATATGAAACTATCCTGAGTCGATTACGTATGACGAAAGGGATTTTCGACGATGTAAATTCTTTCGTGATGGCATTAGCGAGGCGTTTTTTGGAATATGTTTGACTACTATCAAAGAACTAAATAAAGTGAAGGTAAAAACCATCACTGATTCACTTTTATTCGAATATCAAAACAAATCCAAAAGAATTTCATACGATAATTTCTAAGGTGGATCTGTTGCAAAAAATTGTCTTTCTTTTTTCAAGTGATACATTAAAATTAAGAAAATAAAAGGTTTCCTTTTCAGAGGTTAAGAAGTGGTACATGATTTGTATCTTGGTATTTTCGATGTCTCAATTGACGAAGCTAATCTAGGCTCTCTATTGCTGTGTTATTTATTTGAAATGAGATCCGATTGCTTACAGCTTCATAAAGAAAATTCTAAAATAAATCACCATAATCAAAAATTAATCACAAGTTAAAAATAACAAATTTCTAAAAAAGCCTGTTGTGTTTTTTTATTTCTGAGTCTTGTCGTTTTGCTTCCATAAATTAGCAAGATTATACACTAAATTTGGCTCACTACTATCTTTCGGATTATTCCGATAGATGATCAATTGATATGTATGAAAATTAAAATGAGCCGTACAAAGTGTTGCCGCATTGTTTTCATTCGTTTCAGGAATGATAAAAATTGGAAACTTTTCATCAGCTCGATCACCTAATAAGGTTAAAGCGTCTTTCTCTGTGCGTATCTCTCCAAATTCGAGTCCACGTCGAGCGCGATTTCGACTGGATAAAAGTGCTGCTCTTTCAACAATCGATCCTTGAAGTCGTTCATAATGATTGTAATGAAGAAGATAATTTAAGGCAATACAATCATCATCTAAAAAATGAAGATTTCATTATAAAAATATTAGTAAAATATCCATCCTACCATTCTTTTTTTTATATTGTTCATATTGTTCATTGTTTAGAACAAGACATTTACTGATAAAATTCTTGTTTGTCATCTTATCATCACTGTTCAAATTCGGTCCCAACTCATAGTTAAGCAAATAACATTGTTGATTATTGTCAGCACGAAAAAACCCTCCATTAATACAAAAACCATAAGCAATAGGTGTTTCATGAAGAAGCTTATCTAATTCATTCTCATCGACAACAGAGAGAAGTGCTCGATTGAGAATTTGTCTTGGAATTCGATTTTCTCCGATATAATTCGGATGAAGTGCATTCAAGGCAACAACAAAACCATACATATTTGTACCGAACGCGTTACCTAAATAATGAAGATATTAAATGCGACATTAACATCCAATATAAAACTTTTTAGAAATCATTCATCTATTCAATTCGTAATTCTCGAGAAACTTTCATAGCTAGATGAAGGATTTCTTTGAATAAAGTAACATCGTACCAGGAATGACACCAGCATAGCAGTAGGCAACGAATCGTTCATTAGGACTATGTCTAGTACCACCATTGTATGCGCTTGATTTAATATCAGCCTCGACTAGATAGGCCGTGTCGTACAATCCTGCTGTATTATCTTCATTATGTAATAATGCAAATGTATTGGTATCTTTACGATTAATAAGTACAGTGCTACATCCCTTTGTTCCACTCATACCTGTTTCTTGTTGTGCATGATCAACTGTTTTTTCTTGTAAAAGACGAAGTGCAGCTCGTGTCTCATTGACAAAGTTTAACACAAGTAATAATTCTAATGGAATTTCGGAACCATCGGCAAGACCACGAATTTCATCCCAATACCAGGGAAACATCGTACGAATAGCATCAATAAAACCTTGATGTAATTTGTGACCTTCGTCTGTTTGAACAAAATTGAATAAAGACTCGAGATGAATTTGATCATTAGTGATACGCTTCTGAATTCGTTCGCGACATTTCACACCAATATCTCGAGCACATTCGTAATGAGTACCTTGTACGCGATATAACGGAATATTGGAGGATGGCATTGTATAACAATCTCAATTCACCAATTGTTAGATAGCTCAGTTGTTGTTTGAAATTCTTGTCTGAATGGCAGAGTTTTCATGTTTTTGTTCTTTTAGCAAAGCAAGGATCAATCAGCAAGAAAAAAACAAGGACTCTAATAAGCAAGGAAAAAAACTAATAGCAGAAGGAAGAAAAAGAGGGCATAACCAACCTGAAGAGGGCAGGCCATAACAAGAATGATATCAAAATTGATCTTCAAAACTCTACATTTACATAATAATTCTTTTCTCTGTAACGGGTGACAATTCAGCACCTTTGGGTAGATTTTTCATCTACACACTATGCTCAGCGACCTATCAACAGCATAAGCATTCGTCCACAGTATTGGCAGAAGTAAAAACGTTCCGAGTCTTCAATAGTGAACACTTTTGAGTAACTTTGCATAAAATTTTTCACATTATCTATTTTGCGATCAACATGTAGAAAACAGTGAAACTGTTGAATTTATCATATTGAGTCTGCCGCTGAACTGGACTGTGTTTCTCACATTTCTAGTAATTCTGGTGCTCTTTGAGCTGTACGACGATTGTGGGAAACTTTTTTGTTCATGACTTCCTACTACATATACAAGAAAAAAAACAATTTATGGTTATTTGTATTGATACAATTGAAAAATTCCAATTAGATGATATGCAAACATCTTTATTTCTATTTGAACGTTTATGTAGTTTAATTTATCCAGAAGAAACTATCCAAGAAAATAAAGAATTGTTCATTCTGGTGGAAAAACGTCCAAATCAAGAAGATTTGTTCTACAGTTTGTTTGAAGACTTTTGAAAGATAATAGGCTCTATTTTTTATAAACATATATCAGATTTTTGAAAAATTTTTAAACTGAGATTTGTATTGATAAAATCTTCTATAAAGTTTCATTATATACATTTGGTCAGTAATTGTCATGAATTGCTTACTTCATGGTGCTGTTCAGGAATAAACCCACTCCAGAAGTCTGTTCTTGTACCAACTCTAAAAGACTTCCAACAGACAAAGCATTCGTCGATTGAATAAATTCGAAAGCAAATATTTAAGAATGTTTTTAGATTTGATGCGGGTAAGTTATAGAATAGTTTTCTCTACACTGCAATTAAAAATCATCGGTCTCACACATCTCTAAGCATCACACCTAAAATGTTTCACGTTCAAAAGCAAGAATGAAGTTGTAAAATGAACAATTTTCATACAAATCGTTTTTCTTTTTTGTTTCTACGACGTATAATGGATAATCCATACAATTCAGCAGCTTCCGAATATGGACCCATTAATGCGTTATATCAAAAATAAAATTTGTACTGATTGTGAGTTAATTGCGTTAATTGAAGGTGATAATAGTATGGAATAACTTGTAGTAAATAAAATAATCAATTTGGGTTTACCTGTTCGTGATATTTACAAAAAAGTTTGGTTACGATATATAAAATCTCATCAAGCAACACTTCCAACTGGTGATTTAGTAACAGGTGGTCGACCAGTTGTTAATCCTCCACAGAATGAACATGAACCAATGCATATTATTTATCGTATGTGTAGTTTATTAGGTGATCCAACTGAAGATATATTGAAACATTTGATACAAAGAAAAATGTTGATGCGAAGATGATCCCGAAGATATATATCGTTTAGCAAATGTTCTTAGTGAACATTCAAGTTTCGAAACCATACTTAGACATTTAGATTCTATCGATGATATGTCATCTGGAAAAGCATTATTGCAAATTTTATTAATATTATTTGAATTTGCGTTTAAACTTAAAGTTAATCAACAACGTTTAATTTAATCTAAAATTACGTTTGATATAATCAATGTTAAATAAACTTAATTTATTATTAGAAACTTAAATTGAAGAACAAAGACGTGATCAAAAACTTTTATCATTAACAGAAAAACTTATTTTTATTATGGATCAATTATTTCATGAAGCTAGTACAACATTATCACAAGATAAATATAATGATTTTTTAGCTTGATGTGAAGAATTAGTCAATAGTATTAATATATTACAGCTTATTGAGGTAGAGATGATTCTATCGGGAAGGGTCTGATCACTTCTGTACTACCGTGGTCAAGATTCTTCTACCATATTTATCATTTAAAAATTAAAAAAATATCAACATGACTTGATTATTTTAAATCTTATGTAGAATTTGATCGATTAGATCTTGAGCAAACATCATCATCATTAACATCAAGTGATAATGATAGTCAATTTTGTGATCTTGTTAATGACTCAAATGGTATTATTGATCAATGTATAGATTATATTGAAATAAATTCTCCACCAGTAAAAACATATTTAGGTATGGAAGATCCAGATAGTTGGCACGAATTTAAAAATAAACCATGTTTATCATATATTTTACGTTGATTAACTGGTTTATCTTATAGAAATGACAATATTCAGATGAAAATCGCACAAATTTTAATAGTAATTTTATATAAAATTGAATAGTTAGCAATAGCTGGTAAAGTTGATGTTTTAGTTGCGGATCATTTACATTCATTAATTGAAAATGTTCAAGCTGCAAAAAAAATTGATGAGGTTAGAAATCAAACACATGCAGAGAAAAAACCGTTTAGCACATAGAAGTACGTGATAGAAAAATGCGTGTATTAAATTTAACAAAAGTAACAAGAAATTAAAATTTATCAGCATCATCAGCAACAGTATCAAAAATATTTAAAGTTTTAGCTATTTATACATGTACAAAAAAAGTTGATATTGAATCATTTGAAGCTAAAACACGAAAAACACCTGATTATGCAACTGTAATACATCTTAGGTATTATACATATTGAATGTCATACATCAGCTGTTGTAACTTACAAATAAGGTTCCTTTAATCTTCTTAAATTTTCTACATCTATTTTACTTTCTCATCATTATTAGAAACATGTGCAAATAACTGTTCAAATTCATGATTAGGAAAAGAAAGAATATATTCTCTCATCACAGTAGGCAACGTTTACGAATTAAATTTAAAACTGATTTGTCGATCATTTGATCTCAAAATGAGGTTATGACTGAATATGAGATCCATCCATATCCTTTTTCATGGCAAATCTAAATATATCAGTTTCATAATGCAAATGGAATAGAATAAATTTGTTAAACCTCACAAAATTATTAGGTTTTTAGCATAGAAAAAAGGCTGTTTCTGAAAAAAAAGGACTATTCAGGACAATTGAAAAAGCTCGGAATTTTGTATCAAAAGTTTTTCGAAAAAACCACACATATTCTTACTCAGCTCAACAAGCTCTATTCAACCGTATGTGAAAAAATGCAAAAATATTGCTTGAATTTTGCATAGACCATACCTTAAGTGAAATATTATATTAGAAAATAATCTGAATATAAAAACTGCGAATATAAATCATTTTTAATGTGTAGTCTTTATCAATATTATTCATCAATCATAAATCAAACTAAAATGATATTATTCTTAGAATTCATAACTGGTTTCGATGTTACAAAAGGATTTAAATCAGATGAATTTTATATTTAATTTTTTTCTATAACTAGAAAAAGGTTTTTCTATTCAAACTAAAATCATATCTAATCTGATTTCTATCCTTTCGTGAAGTCGAAACTGGTTATGAATAATAATATATAAATAATCTCTGTTTGTTGACGTTCATCAATACTAAATTGATTAATTCTCCATCAAATTCTGTATCTTTTTCATTATTTTAATTCTCATAGTTTGCTATTACATTTAATAAATTCTTATGAAAGTTTATTAAAATACATTATTCTATTGTGAAAACTAATGATTTAATATTATTAATTGATTCTGGTTAAAAAAGAATATTTTGAAGAAAGATTCTGATAAACGTCATAATTAATGTCTGTTTATTTTACTACCATTTTCAACCACAATAAAAGAGTCGATAGGTAACATATATTTACAGGATGTATAATTACAAACAGGTAAAGAAAAACATAAAAAAAACATAAAAACAAAAGTTAGAAGAGATAAAATATTGAATTTGGTCGAATGATTTATATGATTTAACGATACCCAAACAATTATTATATATCCATAGATAACTATGCTCTTGTTTGGTTAATTTTTTGGACTATTAATCTCTATTTTTCATCATCATCAAAACAATCAAGCATAATATAACCATATGGTTCGATCATTGATTATACTTATTTCATCTCATTTCATTAAACACATACACATATAAGGTTTGATGGTCAGATTTTTGTTATTTAGTTTTAAATAGTGACTGGATTAGATAAAAGTATCAATGACGGTATAAAAATTTACTATTTAAAAAACCGTTCACTGATCATCAAACTCATAGTTTTGGTTTTCAGATGACTAAGTTAAAAACTATGTTTACGTTCTATGATCGATTATACTTTTATTATAAGAACTTGCACTGATTCAAAACAGAGTCTGAATCATATCCGACCATGAAAAAAAAATAAATGAGATCGATTTGACTTGTATTGGGTCATGTAACACATATCTATGGTAGAAAATAATTTCAACGAGACCAAACTGACCTTTACATGAATAACACTTGATCCAAGTCACTCTCAAATAATTCTTTTTCATTAACAATGTTGCATATTTAACGTGTATCGATCATTTTAGCGAGAAAACTCCTCCAAAAAAGTTATTGATCCGGTCAAACATGTACTCATCATGATTATTTCTTTAGAAAAAATTGTCTAAAGATATTTCATGTCAAAATTATTCACTATCACTTTCCGTTTTTACATAAATTTCCATTCCTTTTTCCGCATTTTTTCATTGATGTTCTTCATAATGTGTCTCTATTTATTGTACTACTAAGAAAATAGACATACATACATACATACACCAAAGATACATAAGAAAAGAATACTGAGATTAAAGCGAAAAACAAAATATTAGACATATCTTATGCATATCTAGTTTAGATAATTAATTAGAAATTAAATAGAAATCAATATAGACTTCAATTGAAACCAAGCAAATTCCACATTCTAAATGTGAGTGTAGTATATGTATTTTAAGAAAGTTCGTTGGAATTCAGTTTCTAAGAAATCTCGACAAATACGATAGTTTGTGTTTATTAGTATATTTATTTTATTTTTTAATCTAACTATATATAGAAAGAAAAGTCAGAACGTGCGGCATCTTTTGATATATTTTATGTTAAATATCAAATGCAGTTTAAAAATTAAAAAATGCACGAGAAAGCAATTGAGATCTTCTTATTCCAATGTGTGCAGCGCGAATTAAGAAATTATTCGAGATCAACATTCATTATTTACAAATAACGGTTATAATTTATATTGAAGAAAATAATATATTCGCAAAATAGATATTTTATTTATCTCGTCTAATATAATGATACTCATTTTCGTCTTTATATTTTTATAGATTATTTAATAATGTCACATCATTAAAGATTTGTTATTACATCAGTGCTCAAATAATAAAGTGATATTTTGAAATAAATGGATTTTACCAGTCGACGATTAGCGCGATCAATTCTTTTTTCTACTTCGAATGTAAGACGAACTTCGATAAATCGAGAAAAGATAATTGAAAATAATCCGTCAGATAAACGACAACCTCGTGTTGTTGAAAATTTTATTATTATCTGGTTAGATCCTAAAATTAATGAATCGAATAGTTATTATCAAAATTCTATTTCTCATCTACGGTGTATCGTTAATACCATTAAAATATTTACTGATGCTGATCGTTGCTTGGAATTTCTTGGTAAAGTCAAAGATGAAAAAGTGTTTTTGATTATTTCAGGTTCACTTGGTCAAGAGATCAATCCTTGCATTCATGAATTGAATCAAGTCGAATCTATCTATATATTTTGTAGTGATAAGTCTAAACACGAACAATGGTCTAAAAGCTATGAAAAAAACAAAAGGTGTTTTTACTGAAATTGTATTCGTATGTGATGTATTAAAACAAAATATTCATTATTCTGAAGCTAATTTAACATCTGTTACGATTCTTGCACCATCATCAAATATGAAATCAAATGAAATTGATCCAACATTTATGTATTCACAATTACTCAAAGAAATTCTTATTGATATAGAAAAAGAAGATGCAGAAAAACAAAAACTTATTAAATTTTGTCGTGAACAATATTCTCAAAATGATTCAGAATTAGAGATCATTAATGAATTTGATCAAGATTATTTAAAACAATCTCCATTATGGTGGTATAGTAGAGAAGAGTTCGTTTATAAAATGCTCAACAGAGCCATATGAAATCAAGACATTGACATAATCAGTAAAATGGCTTTTTTTTGTACGTGATGCTCATAAACAGATTGTAGAATTGTACGTGCAAAAGTTAAATGAATCTCCTCCATTTAATGTTTATCGAGGACAAAGGATGATAAATGAAGAATTTGAACAAATGAGAAAAAAATCAAGAAGAACTTATGTCATATAACATTTTTCTTTCCACTACTACTGACAGACAAGTAGTATTAGAATTTGCTCCAAAAATCTCAAAATGATTCAAGTAAAACGTGTGTTTTATTTCAACTGAAAGTTAATCCTGCAAATGCCAGTAATCCTTTTGCTTCAATGGAAAATATTAGCTTTTTTTCCAACTGAAAAAGAAATTCTTTTCTCAATTAATACGGTATTTAGAATTGGAGAAATACAACAGATTGGAGATAAACTATGGCAAGTTAATTTATCTTTAACAAATCATGATGATCAACAATTAAAGCGTATAGTTGAATCTATTCGTGAAGATCTTTCTGATGGACGAACAGGATGGCATAAACTTGCTATTTTAATGGATGAAATAGGAAATTTTGATAAAGCTGATGAATTATGTCAACAATTATTTGAGAAAATAATGAACGATAATTGGATGCAACTTACTCATTTTCATCAATTTATTGGGTTTATTAAAATGCGAAAAGGAGATTATTCAAATGCACTTTCTCATTTACATAAATGTCTGGATATTTAGTTAAACAAATTTCCTTATTGTGAGCAATATCTACCTTGTGTTTATCAGAATATTGGTCAGACTTATCTAAGTCAAAGTCAGTATGATCAGGCATTAGAAACATTTCAATATGCTCTCAATAAAGCTCTTCAATTAAGTGAACCTGAATATAAAGTAATGGATACTCTTTATTATTGTATTGGAAAAATTTTATGAAGCACTCAAGAATTATAATCTTTCACTAAATATTCCACTTGAAAATTTTTCATCAATTGATCCTTTAATAGCAGAAGCTCATATTGGTATTGGTGAAGTATATGAATTGATGCAAGATTTTGATCAAGCTCTTATACATCATGAAAAAGCACTTGAAATTCAAGAAAATCTCTTTCAAAAGATTCTCTAGAATTTGGATTCACCAATAAACTTCTTGGTGATGCATTAAAGTTAATGGAAGAAGATCCACATGCACTTTCTTATTATCAAAAGGCAATTGAAAGTGGACAAAAAGCAATACCGTCTCTGATTATCTTTCGATTCACGAAATTTTTTATGAAACAGCAAAAACACTTGATCATCTTCAGAGCTATAAAGACGCCATAGAATATGCTGAACAAACATATCATATAAGATGTGACACACTCGGGTCTCAACATCCAAATGTAACTGAGATACAAGAATATGTTGATAAACTCAAAGAAAAACTTCAAACAATATCAAATTAAGTTATGTCGAAAAACTAATCAAAGAATTAAGTAATAAGTTGAATAACACATTAATTTAATTATGTTATGGGTTAAGGATTTTTATATTAATGAAATAAAATAAAACTTATATAATAAAACTAATTGTCATTTATTAGTATTGATATTTTTTCACATTGTAAGTTTACTCGAAAGAGATATTAAATATATATTAGTTTTATTCTCATTATATTGTTTAAAACATCGAAAATTGAAATGTATCATTGAATATACATAATCCGTATTTGTTAGTTTTGTCTTTATTTATCTTTCATCACCTATATCATAAATAATGCATCTTAAAAATGTGACAAAACTCGTGTTTGAACATGTTTTATTTTCTATTAGATCGAATGATATCAATACACTTTAAATAAATTTTATTTTCGTTATATTTATTCATATCATTAAGAGTCCCATATTGTATAGAACAGTCCGTAAACAACTGTCGTTACAATTGCCATTTTCACACTGTTGTTTAGCGTAGAAAAAAAAAAGTGTCTTAAAATTATTAGTAGACACTTTCTAATAATATATACTCGATAAATTTTAATCATATTATTTACCATTACTAACTGAATTGTGTCAGAATGGTTCTATGGAGCGCTGCGTTGAAATTGAAGTAAACAATTTACTCTTTTTTTAACTGTCTTTTGTTCGTTATTTTGAAGCTCCAATTAACTTTCTTGAGCTAGTTCACACACCAATCGAAAACTCTTATTAAGATCTATGCAACAATATAATACGCAATTTTCAGAACAGACTTAGTGTCGCGCTACACGATAATCAACATCATCTCGATTGTCAAGTTATCGAGAAGA